TCGGTTCAAGAATGCAAGGCATAAAGATTCTGGATTCATCCTAAGGTTACGGTAGTAGATGCGTGCTGTTGAGAATTCCCCTACTGGAAAAAACAATTGTCCAGTATCCTCTAGATTTTATTTGGGTGTCCAGCTATAATCAATTCAGGATATAAACTATAAATTGACTTTTTTCCATAAATCTCTTTTGTCAGTAATTAAATAAGTTTTTCATATTTCATAGGTTGTCGTCGATCGGTTACATTACTAATCAAACGAGAAACCTATTAACTGAATCCGAAGGTAATGCAATATTGTGTAATTGAAAATAGTGTCTGAAATTCAAATGAACCGAGAAAAGATTATCAATGAGATAGTCACTTTGTAAGACCATTAACACAGTACTCTAAGGTGCATAAAAGATATAACCCACAGACGACTGAAAAAAATTAGTCAAAATGATGTTTCTCATTTGTTCGTCCCTAATACTAATTATTAGTCCACCTGTTAAAAACTGTTACAATTTCATATTGTGTTTTTGAACTGATCCAATACAACAAAGAGAACACCAACTCAACCACACTTAATGGAGAAACTCTGGAACAGGTGGAGTTTTGCATACTTTGAAGGGATCATTGATAGACAAGGAGGATATGATGAAGATGTAAGTGAACGGAATGGCAAATCAAGGGTAGAATTTCTATGGTTGATAAACATACAGAACTCAAAACAACTGACAGTCAATATCAAAATGAGAATTCTCAATACGAATGTCAAGACAGTTCTATTACATGGAGAAGAAACTTGAAGAACTACCACAACCATCATCAGAATAGTATGGATAATTATAAACAATTGTCTACACAAAATACTTAGTGTCCGTTGACCGGATACCATCAGAAATAGTTTACTGTGGTGGGGAACAAACCAGGTTCCATCTGAAGAGGAAATTAGGAAAATACGTTTGAAGTGAGTGGGACGCATGCTGAGGAAACCATCAGAACGCATCATGAGACAAGTGCTAACTTGGAATCTTGAAGGTAGTGGGGAAAGTGGAAGGTCAAGCAACATATTACATCGGGAATTTGAGGTAGATATCAAAATAATGAATTGGAACTGAAAAGGATTGTTGGGGTCAGTGTTTGATGGGGAATGTTGGTGTGTATCCCACGCTCCTCTACGAGAGGGAACAGGTTTAATTAAGTTTCGGACTGGTAGGATTATTGAGGATGACCTTTCGATCTATAATGGTGACCAAATAAAACAATCATATAATCCAGCTTTATTGATGTTATGGGACAAGACCTAACCATATATAGGATTGAATTATTTGTTTTGAAACTAAAGAGACGAGGTGGTAGGTGTTTATTTTTAAGAAATAAGTTTTATTTTGTGTCGATGAAATCAGTAAAGAATAAAATGTGAGTAATACTAAATGGTTAAATGTAATGGACAGAAAACTTAGGCAATTAATTTTATATTGGTTGACATTGCTTAATATGGTGTACCTAGAAATTTGGGCGGAAATACAGTTTCCTTAGGAACTCGTACCTGTGTCACTTAGTGTTATATCTAGAGAAATTGTTATTCGGTTATCAGGTCTTTGACTTCTTCCATGTACGACTGATGTGTGTCTATAAACTTGTTGCTATGATTAATTTGATGTTTGTGATTTTTTCTATTAAAGTGTTACAGTAACAGTCAGGATATTTCATTCCATTCGCTACTTATCAACTGAATGTGCTTGAATCCTAAAGTTGAGGTTCGCATAAAATTCCTTATCAAAAAACCAATTATTGTGATTGCTAACGCGTTTTCCACCGAGTGACTGTTTCCAGACTCACTCCACTCCCTCGAAAACGTGATTTTATCCGATATACAAATGTTAGTTATTAGTGAGATGTTGTTCAATAATCAATATATCCAGTTGTTATACGACAAAGCTAGTTTTTTTTTCGATTTTGTAAAACGGAAAACTTATTAAAATCCCCTATTAACCGTTTCATAACTAGCAATTTCGATCATTTGTCTGTTCAATCAGTTGGTGTTTGCTGCATATTAGAGAATAGTTTTCGCTTTGACCGACTAGATTTATTCAAAGCCCATTCACATATAAATGGTGGAAAACACTAATGGAATACATAATGAAGTTTGAAATGAAATCTTGAGTGAAAATTGCACTGTAATATGTAACACCCATACACTAATTGAACGAAAAACTAGTCAAATATGCTGGGTAAAAAACAGGCTTGTTGAACATTTTAACCTTGATGGATAACCTTAACCAGTTATTAATTTTGAAGACGTATATTTTTAAATATGCAAACTCTTTTCTTTGGGAGAGACATAAACCTACTTCACTTCGTTTATAGAGATGACAGTGAATTAGTTTTTTTGAGAACTTCATAATAAATTTAAGTAGTTTCGTGAAAACGGTTAAATAAATTAAGAATATTTTGTATAAATTAATGCAATACACCATATGTAACAATCTGATCACATATGGACTTATATATATATATATATATATATATATATATATATATATATATATATATATATATATATATATATATAACCATTCAACCCTTGGTATTGAAAATTAAAATCAATACTGTCAGGATAGTTCCGATTGTAAATTTTTTTTTAGTACACAAAGGAAGTTTTGAATTTTTATATAATTAAGGTTTTTCTAATTTTAAATACTGACCCTAGATACGTTTTTTATACATTGTTATACTGGTTACTTTTTCGATTGGTCATATGATTTGTTACAACTGGATGTTGATTATTAGAGGAAGGAGAGGTGTTTATTTATTATTTGTTTTGGTTAAACTATCCTAACTTGGACAACATGATTATGCACAGCTACTTATGAATAGTGTATAATAATTTGATAAACCATGGTCTTTTTTTAAAGTATGGTGAAATAGATAAGGTAATAAGTTAAACGAATTATCGATTCAAGCTTTATTTTCAGGCAACAATATTTGATTCACCTCTTATTGGTAAGATAGTTTCGACTGAATAAAACTTAATAATGTACATTTCTTCGAGAAATTGTTTAAGTAAAAGGTAGTCGGTCCCAACATTATATCTTTTACTGCACAAAATGTCATGGAATTACCGAGTTAAGATTCAAAATTAATGCCCAAGTTAACCAATATATTATTGTCATGCTACGAGAAAGATGCTTGACGCCTGAAATATATGTCACAACTGGATAAATGTGATCATGTGGTACTTTTCTTCACATCGAATTTAACTGCTAATGATTTTCTGATTATGCTTACAAAGAAAAGTGTTTGGATAGCCGATATTCCGTTAATTATACACACAGTGAAATTAGTAAACTTGTTTATAGTAAGAGGTATCGACTGATATGGTCAAACTTATTTATTAGGTTAACTTAATACAATAGAAACAGTAAACAGTTTGTAAACAATTTACTTTTCAGAGCACAAATGAAACCAAATCTAAGAATCGATAATCCAGAAACATCTGTATTGTTACTTCACGGAACTCCAACAGACACTAAATTTATCAGAGATTCCATGGAGTACCTACAGAACATGTTATCATAAGTAAATCGGAGGAGGGAAATATGATATAATGTGATAGAACTGCATGAAAACTAACCTATTTCAGCAGTGATGTAACTTCAACATAACCGATGCTAACAAATATTATAGCATGAATCATACAGTAAAAGTTATTATTTACGATCGCAGATTAATGCATCCATCGCTAAAGATGCATCATTCTTTAATAGATTTTCATTCACCATTCACTATATTCTATGTTAGCTTCGTAATAAAGACAACAACGGTATCGACTAAATTTAATTTTAAAACTAGTTTATATGTATAAATTATCTCAAAAAGAGAGAGATTTATTATTAATAGTTATTTGGTACTTTTCGTTACCTTTTCTTACAGATTAATGGGTGAATGTATGTTAATAAGAGCTAGTAAATACCCAGTTATATGTTCACATCTGAAACATCAGTTTAGGGTACATGATAGTCAGAAACTGTTATACAAAATATAGTTTAAGTGACCTATTGTATACAATTCACAAGTATACTATAAGATTAAAAGGGTTGCCGATGTCCCATAATTCTATACAGATATATGTGATTATTTTTAATAATAAAATAAAGCCTTATTTATTCATATTTTTTTGTTAAAAATCTCCTCTTCCATAACTTATCTTATGTAATACAGTGGCTGGTAGATCTAATAAACATTGAACGTGTTCAATTTAGTAGAATTAACGGTGAGACTATAATTTATGGACGATCTTCGAGCGATGTCAAAGTGACCTTGAAAGTGTCTACCTACTTACTATGGCTAAATGAGGGTTTTAAAGCAGTTTGAAGAATAAGGATTATGATTCAGTTGATGGTTAAGAATTAGATTTACGGTTTTTCATCACAAACTGACATAAGCTAAAATGCCAAGGGGCTATTTGGCCAAATGGGTGGGTGAATTTTGCTTCGAAATCCAAAACTTGTTGTCCTAAATCTCATTGGTTCGTTCATAAATTATAAACTCGTCGAATTAATCTTACTTGTTAATTTTTAATTTAGCACTTCAATTTCAAATGTACATTTTATTTATAATTAAGTGAAATTTTCTTGTTTATTATTATTATTTTGCTTAACTCTATAATAAATTAAATTTACTTGGTATTGTTTGTTTGAAACTTCCCATTGATGTTTAGGACTGCAATTGGTTAGTCTCATATTTGCATATGTGCATACTGTGCGTATTGCCTCAATATAGCTTTACGAATCAGAAGTTAAGTGAATAACGCGATGACGTTTGAAGCGAACGGTACTAAGTTCAAGTCCCAGAATGAATATCAACTCTGAGATGCAGGTATATCCAGCTGACGAGTCCCGAATAGGACGAAACGCGTGTCTTTGATTCCACTACTAGCCACTGCCCATCTTTGCATATCTATGATAAATTGTTTAACGTTCAATACACAATTGCTAAATCGAAAATACACAGTTTAATTTAAGAATGATTTATATTTCAGCCAGTACCAAATATGTATATATATTGTGAAGAGATAAAATGTAGTACATAATGACTAAATGTTACATTGATCTTTTTCAATCAGTTGACAGAATTTGTTTCAATGTTTAAATTGTAAAATTTAAGCAGAATTTAAAGGATTAATACACTAATTCATTATTGTTTTTGTTCTGTATTTAATAAATGTAAAATCATCTGTTGGTACACCAGGGATTGTGTTTAATATCAGCACAATTTCATCAATTTCATTCATTATCATCGTCACTTTCATCACTACTATCACGATCACTATCGGCTCCTTCTGAGGCATCATCAGTTTCCGAATCGGTTTCACAGTCATTTTCATCTGAGTTCTTCGCTTTACACTTCTTACTCTTTATTGTAGAAATATCTAAATGATGCAATACTGCGCCGGTAGTACTTGGTTGTTCAGTTGTTGAGCCTGTTTCATTTGCACTTTTAGTATTTATGCAAATATCGGAAACACTTTGTGTTTTGTTGTCAGTAGACTTGGTTTCTGACTCAGTGACATTGTTTATCTCAGTTGTTGTGATGATTTCGCTAGGTTCTTTTGTTGTATCAGGGACAATTTCATTTATGCTAATGAACACCTTGCAAAGGTTGTCAATTAGTTTCATCAAAGAAGAAGGATATTTAGCTGTTTCTATGGGAGTTTGTGATCGAATATCAACACTTTCTGAAGTTGACTTTAAGTGAGAGTCATCAGTACGATTTTCTTCAGCGTTATGGACCACTGTATTAGGGGTTATTTCTGAGTTATCAGCGCTTTCTGTCTGATTTTCTAAGTCTTCTGATGTTAAACTAGTCGACTGTGCGTCCATGTAAATACCAAACTCTTTACAAAGATCACCAACGGCTACTATCAAAGGAGGAAGTACATCAGCGTCTTTAGGGGCTTCTGTATGGTTATCAAGATTTTCTGAAGTTGAATCGGATATAACTGTTTCTGTATGAACATTGTCTGTAAGATTTTCATCACTTGTCACAGTAAAAGTGCTTTCTGTATGATTTTCACCACTTGTCACTGTTGAAGTACTTTCTGTATGATTTTCTAAACCCTCTGAAATTATTGGAACAACAATATTGTTCTGAGTAGTATCAGTTTCTGCCGTCAGAGTAGAAAAAACATCTGAGTTGTCAGTGCTATCTGAATTGTTGTCAGAATTTCCCATCGTAGATTCTGAAGGATTTGAAGCTAAGTCAACGACAGTTTCAGTGTTAGCAACGTTAGCCACTACAATCGGCTCAGTTGAATTCAAGTTAGAAGTTCCTTCTTTATGACTGTCTACATTTGCAGTTTCATTCAAACTATCCACACTTTCTGAAACAACATCAGAAACGATTGACGGCTCTACTTCTTGTCCAGCATCAATCTTTTCGGCGGATGAAATTTCATCTGTAATACCTTTCGAAAGAAAACGTTTGTTGAAGTTATTCATCAGATTCAATTACATGTTTAATTTTAACATTTATCAATGTTAACAATTTCAGCAAATCTAATACTCAACACATTTTAGAATAAACCTCATATGTAATTTCTACTACTGATTTCTCCGACTTCTCACTCTGTCTTCATAGTCAGAAGGAAATCATTACAAATACTCAATCTATTAAAACATTTCAATCAACAATTCTCAATATCATTGACTGAATTGAGTAATGATGTGTTTGAAGAGAACAAGAGAAGGAATGACCAGTCGATTAGAATGTTGATGTTTCGTCTATTAATTATGTGAATAATCAAAGAAGTGCTGTAATATATCCTCAGTTTATCATTTTACTATCTCAATAACTGAATTCTTGTTATTTTCTTTGTTATTTTGTAGATATATTTGACTGAATATCGAATAAAATATGGAAGGTTGGATAAAGCTAAGCATTCTTACCTTATTCTTGATGTTCTTATTAGTTAGAATAATAATAGAACATAGTGAGTCTATACAAGGGACTAGTTTGAAATGATTCCTTTCAACTTAATTTAACTGATAGAAATAGTGATTTAACAAAACAAGAATCAAACCTTATTTACAAATTTTTACGTCATAATTTTTTATGATGTTATATTATTTACTTATTTTCTGTTACTTTCTGCCTTCAAATAAGAAAAAAGAAAGAATGGGAATTTAGAAATTAAAGATTAAACACTAATTGATTTCTATAATTATAATTCGATGAACACTGAATTCTGTTGCGAAAATATCATTAATCTATTAGATTTCAAGAGTATTTATAAATAAATGAATCATAACTTGTTAACGATATGATTTTTTATCAGTTTTTTTGTGTGGATATTATCGTAATTTCAATAGTTGAGATCATGATTCAATTGAAGCTACATAATCATGGGAAACCTGGAAGCACTGGACAACCGTTTCAGTGACTCATAATCTCAACTATTGAAATTACTATACTATCCATAAAAACCCCTTCTGATATTAATCTACATATGCTCACTAGTATTTCTTGGAGTTCTAGTGAGAAACAGTAACCAATGAATTTTAACCGGCTCTTTTGTGACATAACAATTCATTGAAAACAATAATGGACGTGTCATTCAATTTCATGGTTTAGTTAAAGTTAGATATATGATTTCTGTTAGGAAATAAACATTATATATATAACATTCAAAATTTAATGAATATTTCATACTGATAATAATATCAGTTTATTGTCTAGTTAGATTTTTGTCATTATTGTTATGTATAATGTAGATTTAAACATTTAAATTATATCACCAATTAATTGATATTAATTTAAATATTATAAAAGAAAATGGAATATTCTTGATAGAATTAGTTTAATTAAATCATTATTATTAAAATTAAATCTTACCTTCATTTGATTTTTGTAACAAACCTGCATTCACATAAGTTAATAAGCATAGGACAGATAATAATTGAATATTTGTAATCATTGAAATCAATTTCATTGAATGTCTTTAATGAAATTAAACAAATAAATTTAGATAAATTGAACAATAGAAGAATAATACAAAAGAAAATATTAAATTAATGAAATGACATCATTTCAATTATTATGTCATAAACTAATCACTTAGACACTCGTTTGATATAGATATACCTATGATCAACAGTCATTTTATTCAAGTGTTATACAGTGTCAATGTAGGGGGGTGGAGAAATTTATTTGAGAATTTCTTATTTATTTTTTCAAATTAATCATTCTAGTGAGGATCTATTGGAAATCTTTAAATGGTAAATCTGATCCAAAAGAAAAAAAATTACGTTCAGTAGATTTTTCTGATAATCGTCAACGAACTATACATGTCTATTGAACACAATTGTTATTGAATAACATCCATTGATTTCCTTTGTTAACTTTTAACAGAATCAAAATATCCTATTAACAACTATTAACAACATGATGATGTAATACATGAATGCATTTGAATAATATGAAAGTATTTTGATTTTAAGTAAGCTGAACGTAATTCTCATAATATACCGATATTATTTATAATAATTGAAAAACAAAGATAATCGTTTCGTTTTTAATGTTAAAACTAAGTGGAACAATTAGTACAAAAAATTGAACTAACAGCCTAAAGGTGTAATAGATAGTTAAATTAATTCACATATTTTGTACAGATTTGAGTAGATTGTAAGTATATGACTGTTTGGACTGTAGATTTAGAAGTAGTCGAATAACTTCGGAAAATATCATCTTATACAAAAACATTATGATATGTAAATGAGTGGCAAACTAACAGATTAGTAAAACAATCTATGTAAAATGTAGTTTTGAAAATATGAAATTGAGAAAAGTAAAACACATTGCTAATAAACAATATCAACGAAATCTCATTTAATGGGTACAATCATTTCTTACTTGAATATCTTGATCAAAAAGAAGGAATATACTTAAAGTTGATAATTCATACGTGGTATATAAAAAGGTTAAATGTGTTATTCTGTATAATTACAAAATATAATCTCTCGACAAAATGAGATCAAGCGATCATTTAAACTAGTGATTTTGTCTACAAAACGTTTACTCTTATTCTATTTGCATGTTAACATAATTTGATAGAGAATCGAAGTTTCACATTTTTAGACGATATAGATAGGTATTTGAACATCATTTAGAATAAGTGTATTTTATTCAGTTGTCAACATTTTACTTTCGATTCTATCATATGGAGTTGATATATTATAATGGAAGTAACTTTTGCATTTACCTGCTTCAAGGTCTTATTTATCGCTTAACCATTGTGAAACTAGAATATAATTCAGTGTCTGTGAATGAATCAACCATAAGAAAATGATCATTTTAACTGATTACTATGTGAAATAGTCCTTGGTAGTCTCATAATACCTATTATAATACTATACATTGAAAACGTTAAACGAATATTCAACTTACCACTGAGATAATAAGTGCAATTTGGAATAATGAGTGAACCGAGGATGATCAAACGTTTATATTATGTTGCTACGTGCTGCGATTGGTTATTTGTCAACCAATCATAATAATTGTTAATTGTTTTAGGTTCATATAACAAATGCACGCAAGGTCACAATTATTATTTTTTTTTTACTATACAACGGGGTGCATAGATATTTTATTTCAATCTGAAATGAATCCAGCATTATTCATCATAATTACTGAATAAATAACTGAAATAGGTTAAAAATTAATAAAAAAAGTTATTTAGTTCAATTCTGTTTATTTGATTGCAGTACAAGATCCTTAGCAGAAACCACATATTAATACAAGAAATTTTCTGGTTGTTATGGATTTTTATTGTATGACTTTAAAAAAAAAACAAATTTGGCATAGGTCAGCACAATATTGATTACCTGTCATTTATGTTAAAAATCAGCAAATTGTTTCAACTTGCTCTGTCCCTACTCTACCTCTTTTCATTGATTGAAATATTTATTGTAATGATTAATTATATAAAAAAACACTTGAGTAAATAATGTGGTCAACTGTAGTAACAATAAAACTGAATTACTTGATACTAAAAACCACTATAATTTCTATGATGTAAATTAGAACACAGAAATTGGTACAGATGAAAATTTCTTATTGACCCTTCAAGATATACCTATATTTGTTGTAATAGTACTTAACTGAAACTGGATACTGGAAACTATAAGTCTCATGACGTAAGTCAGAAGATGAAAACAACAGATAAGGATTTATTTGACACCAACAAAAAAAATAATTGAAACCAATATTTCAATTGTTATTATAAGGGAAAATTATATTTGAAATAATCATAGGGATTGAAATTTAAATAATTCCAACGTTTCGTCCAGCAAACTTGTCTGAACTTCTTCAGGTTAAAATCACTTTTTGTATACTCATTTTTTTGGCATAATTTACATCGACTGATAGTCAGATATTTACATATTGAAGGGAGTTGTATTCGGCATTGATAAATCAATAATTTATTAGATAAAGATAAATATGTTATGTCATAAAATCAACTATCTATTCAAAAAAAGTGAATATAATTAAAGGTCAATCAATTTCATAGGTCAATGACATTTAATTCTTTGATCAACAATATCATCAAAATATATATTTAATTAAAATAAACCATGAATCGGTTGATGATCTCAATCAATATATTATAATTTGTTTATTTTTATATTCTACTCCTTAATAATGAACATCTAGAAAGAACCTCAATCGAAATTGAACTTATCGTTCATCATTTTACATCTTTTAGTTTTATATATATTGTCTATTTTTATCAATTTGAGTCAATCTTTTAATAATACATAACTATCATTCTTTTCACTGAGGGTTAAAGATAGTGATTACTAAAGGGGATCTATGTAATTGTTAGAGAATAGTTAGATGAATGGAATATCATAAGATATTCTAAATAATTCTATTAGATCACTACAAATGCTATTGAACAGATAAAGACATGCTACAATGTTAACTTTATAATAATGTGTCAGGTATAAGTATTTTATTATCTTCATAATTACTTCCGCTTAGTATTGTAGGAGTGAACAAAATTTGAAAAATATAAGGTGATCTTATAATGACTGATTGGTTTTATTCAAAGATTTTTTTACAAACTATTGTATCATAATCATTTGAGATTTATTAGGTTAAAAGTTATTTCCTCTTACTGGTACTTTACTGTTTGTTTGAAAGTTTATTTAAGATTTAAATTTTAAAGTGAGTGATGGATATAAATCCACATATATGAATATGTTAGCCATAGTTTTTCTGTGATCACTTTCATTTAGATTATGATGTAGATCATGGAAAACTTCCATACAATAAGTCTTGATTTTCAATAATACATATTAGATTAGAATAGTAATTAGTAATCGTATTGTGCTTTTGTTATTGTTGTTTATTTTTTATTTAATTCACTAGTGAAAACATGGCACAAATATACGTTATTTCAAGTCCTACTTAGTCATCATTGTATGAAAGTATCTTTAGAAATGATTCAAAAGAAAAGTCACCAAGATATTAGTATCATGATATTTGAGATGTAAAATTAAAAAAAAGGAAGTGAATTATTTGATCATTTATGTGTTACTTCGATAAGTGATACTTCAAAACAAAGATTTAAGTCATTCAATTCAGTTTATTTAAACTACTAATATATCAGTTTGCACTTGGTGTAAATCAACTATTTTATTCGCTTTAGGGACGATAAGTAAAGTATTCTGGTGTTTACTGGTTTGGATTGAACAAAATTAACTTCTTATCATTGTGTCAGATCATAATTGTTAATCAGTATGTAACCGTTTAAGATTTGTAGCGTTAATCGAATGGTTCATTATTGAGTACTTTAATGAGTAGGCCATCATCTTGGATTTCCATTGATAGGATTCTTTTTGATCATTTTCCATAACCTAGATATTGGCACACTATCAAATTTAAAATCCGTACGCAATTAGTAATTAAAACTTATAAACTTATTGTTTCAGTATGTGAGTCTTGAATACTCTGTACTTTGTAGTTAACTGACATTATTCAGTCTAGTGTCGATCAAATAATATATTTTACACACTTTGACTTCATTTGTCTTGATTGCATGTTAGTCGCAATGACCTGAAAATTTGTCTTAATGAATCTGTATTAGGACAAGATAAACGCGAAATCATATGCTAATTTAGTGTAATATTTAATTCGCATAACGTTCGTTATACTTTTAACTCAATGTGATATCCATTCAGTTTAATATTCATTTTATTTCACTGAGCTATTTAGTACGTAGTATATTGTAGTATAATATATTTTGTATACCTTTCAATTGAATAATAAGCAATTAAAGAGTTACTGTTGGCTAAAACCAGATAATATGTGAGGTCATATTTTATTTCACTATGATATTTACTCAGTATAACATTGTATTTGTAATAATTGAATGGAATATCCATTCAGTATAACATGTAGACTTGTTGTTATATTAATTGAAGGGAAAAGTTCACTCTTATATTCCCACCATTTTAGTAATCTATGATATTTACTGACTGATCATCAAATGCCTGTATAGTCGGTAAATGAATGAGTTCATTTCATGTTTTTCATGTGTTTGTGGAGGTGAATAAAATCTATTTCTATCTTTAGTCTACATCTTCACATTTTCATTGTGAATTTCAGTATTTCATGTTTAACGTATTAATTTTAAGCGTTTTATAAACTTGGTTCTAAAATTTTCTTCTTAAGTCTCAAGTCAGAAGCACTAGAAATTAGTGACAGTATCTTTTCCCTAATTTTCCTCTTTCTTTTGTGTATGCTATGTTTATTGGAATCATTATCTGAGAAGAATTCACCTATGATTTCTTCCTACATTTCTCTTTTATTGTTAATAATAATAACCAACGTATATGATAAAATGTGTAATGCTTCCTTGATTACAACCTAATGTTGTATCAAGGAACAATCACCATTGGTTCAGGTATATTAAGTTAAAAATCAGTATTTGCTTTATATAAAATAGTTGAGAACTAACAGAAGTTGAACACATATTTCGTTGAACTCATATGCACATTTCTTCACTTCTGATTTACAATCTACTTGAAATAAGTTTCGGGCTAGAACAGTCTTCAATAAACGAAGTCACTAATCTAGTTTTAAATGTTCACGACACTGCTTCATCGTCATTTACTACCAAGAACAGTTGAACAGAAACGCTGATCTAAGACTGTTTGATACAGTCTTTAAGACATCAAGTAATGGCTGCTTGTACTGTAAATGTAAAGATATATTTGCGTTGTAAAATATAGGTATTAATTTTAAATATGTGCGACGTGATAAAATCATAAAACATATTTATACTACTTAATAATAAAAAAGTAGTATGCTCTGAAACACAAAATTCAGAAAAATAAAGATGGAAATTCATAAGACGGTATGAAATTTAATTTAGGGTTTTACTAAAATAATTACTTGCTAATAAATTGGAGGATACAAAAATCAGAAGCCATGTCTAAAGCAGATATCTTGAGAGAGATTTTCCATCTTAGCTCTAGGTTTCGAAATTCTAGTGATCATTGATTGGGTGATAATGAAGATGGTAGTTGGTGACTCACAAATGATGAAAGTATTAAAAAAGGCAATCGAAGTTCAGAAATAAGTGTAGTGTTCTCTTTGAAAAAAATTTCTTAAAATTATGGCGCTTCTGGTACGTAGATGCAAATGTAATGATAGATTTTTACATTACATAACGAGAAGGAAACGAAGAAAAAGTTGCACGAGAGTTTCCTCTGCAATCGTAAATACAGACATAGGGATAAAAAAAATTATTTTTAGTGCAACGCTGAAAATATTTCATTCTGCTTTTATGTATTTCTTAATCAAATCATCAACCTTAGTTTATTTATTCAAGAAATAAGAATCATATTTAAATAGTTATGCCAGTACTTACATGGATGATTGCTATTGTATAATATATGTCGATGGATTTGCATAATAGATTAAGGTTTCGGTGTTATCATATTGTAAGCTGGTTTGGGTATAAATAATAGACTTTTCCGGTGTTTTGAACACTATTATCAAGGCTTCCGTTATAAAGAAGTGAGCATTTTTAAAATTTGTTACACAAATCTAACTTGTTTTGAACTGGTTATCTATCTATCTATCTATCTATCTATCTATCTATCTATCTATCTATCTATCTATCTATCTATCTATCTATCTACCTATCTATCTATCTATCTATCTATCTATCTATCTATCTATCTATCTATCTATCTATCTATCTATCTATCTATCTATCTATCTGTCTATCTATCTATCTATCTATCTATCTATCTATCTATCTATTTAGCTACTTAAATTAATGTATTATTCGGTGAAAAATTCTTCACCGCCGTCCAATATAACTGGTAATGTATTTTAGGTCATATATTTCATCCCACTTTGGATTTTTCGGCTGTATGTACTTAAATCCTACCGAGTTCGGATAGCCAACAGTTTGTAAAACAATTATGATGTTAGATATTTATGTACTGATTCGAATGTTTACATTGTTGATATCAAGAATTGTAATCAAAACGATCTACAGGTTCTTACAACTGACAAGTCCAAAATAGGGTGATATTGGCATTGTGGACTCCACTGATGGTCATAATCCGTGGATTTGACATACACATACTTATGTATCTCACATTTAGTAGATTATTCATGTTTGTTAGAGACCATACATGTTCAGTTTAATTCAATTTGTCATACAGAAAATGTCTAGTTATTACATATACACTTTGATTTCAATAGGTGATCAGTTC